GTTGCTGAAAAAAGGTACTTGCAATGAACAAGTCGTTGGTCTTGCAAAATTCTATCATGTGATCTGCAGCATTATTTCTTTCTCCAATGCCATATTTTCCAGCTACCAGTGACTCTTCTTTGTTTCCAACTTTTGCATTGCAGTCACCAGTGACAATCAACACATCTTGATTGCATGTTCAGTCAATTTCAGACTGCAGAAGTTGGTAGATCTCTTCAACATCCTCATCTTTGGTGGTTGGTGCATAATTTGTATAATTGTAGAATTAACTGATCTCTTTGTAGGCATATGGATATTTTCCTATCACAGACAGCATTGTACTTCAGGACAGATCTTGAAGCACTCTTTGTGATGATTAATGCTACACCATTTCTCTTCAATTTGTCATTCCCAGATTGGTAGATCATATGGTTGTCTAATTCAAAATGGCCAAAACCAGTCCATTTCAGCTTACTAATGCCTAGGATATTGATCTTTATGCATTCCATTTCATACTTTGTACATTCCATGTTCCAATTATTAATGGATGTTTCACCTGTTTCTGCTCATTTTGAGTCATGCCACACCAGCAAATGGAGGTCCCCAAAACTTTACTTTATCTATATCGTTAAGGTGATCTCCATCCTGAGGAGTCATCTCTTCCCCAGTCAAATTTTGAGTGCCTGCCAATCTGATGGGCTCATCTTCTAGTACTATGTCAGAGAGTGTTTCAGGCTCTTCATAAACTCTTCCAGGAAAATATCAGACAGTGTTTCACTGATATTCATAAGGGTTTCACTGCTCAATTCTTTGAGAAATGAAAGGCCTCTTCCTTTTCTGAGTCTGTCTAAACCTGGAAGCTTTGCTGGAATCTCTCCACCATGGATAACCCTGTTGACATTTTGCAACATGGTGGCATAGCCTCCATCCTCACAGCAACTCATAAGCCACCACAGGATAACAAACTGACATGCAAGTTCACCTCCCTTGTTGTTCGTAACCCCTCTACACCTGCCTATCTCAGGCCCAGGCCTTAATAAAAAGCCACATCCAATCGAAAAGCAACCTCCAACCCCCAGACCCACCTACCTCAGTCCCTGCCCTTAATATAGAGCCACAACCAATATAAAAGCAGCCCCCAGCCCTGGGCCCACCTACCTCTGCCCCTGCCTTAATAGAGAGCCACACCCAAGCAAAAAGCAGCCTCCAAGCCATGGAACTGCCTTCCTCAAGCTTGGCACATATCCACTTCCAATAAAGACTGCATTCCCGGATTCCCTTGCTACTAAGTTTGGCAATATGATTAAGTTTTAGGCACAGGGATACAAAAGCAGTGGTTTAGTTAAAAGTATGGGAGATTGCCCTTTTTTATTCTGTCCTCCTTCTTGCTGGTTGGAATGTGAATATAAGAGCTAGAGCTCCAGCTGCTATCTGGTGCCCTTGGGAATGGAATTCAGTTGGTTGCTTGATTTTGAGCAGAGTTAAAGTTCTTCTCTGACTAGGAGAAAATCAGCTCCAGTCCACTTTTGCTTGTTTAATTAACTCCTGGCTAGCTTTTATTCCCCCCTCAATCCACTTAAATATCTGGGTACAATAATAGGAACAGGAGAGAGCTAAGTTCTCCAAAACCTCTTGAAGCTCTATTCTATTCTATTTATTTATTTATGTTAAACTTGGTTTCTATTGGTTGTTTTCCCGTAAATAAATAAATAAATAAATACTAAGAAAAAGTGAGGAGGTGTATCATTTTAATAAATTCTAGAAAGGGATGAACTTTCAAAGATTAGTGCATTTTTAACATTTAAATATCTGTAATATTCTATAATACCAGACTTTGAATTCTTAGAATTTCAAAAGGTGACCATTTTCCAAAAATTGCAAAGAATTGTTCTGACAAAAGACAGGCCCTGAAGTAGCTATGCAAATATTTTACTATCAAATGTCAAACAATTCTATATATTTAAGAGTCAGTAGTATTTTGTTAGTACTTTTCTGTTTTTTATTCATTTTTCTGCTGTTGAGAATATATATAGCAAAACATATACCAATTCAACAGTTTCTACACGTACAGTTCAGTAACAATGATTACATCCTTTGAGTTGTTCCTCCCCATTATGTAAATGAACTGCTCCCTAAGGTTCCTACTTGATTTTTCAAATTGCTTTTGTCAGTTTGATCCCATATAGATAGACCTTGAAAGAGCACAATGTTCAAGGCAGACATTGCTTACTAGTTAAGCTAAACTATTTTCAGTTTTAAGATGACTTCAGCAGATGTGTTTGATTTAAGGTTTAAGGATTATCTCAGGGCAATGATTTCAGGGTTTTATCTACCCTCGATGGCTCCAGAAAGTATAGAGGCTATGAGAATTTGAAAATCTGTTCTGCATTTCTCCCTTTTGATTAGCATTCTTCTATAGAATCTTCAATCAAAATGTTCAGTAATGATAGTGGGGCACCATCCCGTTTTGGTCTCATAGCAAAGGAAGTAGTTGTTCATGGATGCAATTAACCACTCATTCCACGTCCTCCTCCTATTCTTGACTATTCTAAGTCCTCTGTTGCTCCCAATAAATAGAGACCAATTGTTGTGCCCTAGATGACTGTTTGCAAGCATAAGACCCCAGACACTATACAATGAAAAGGTTGAACAGAAGCACTGAACATCTTATATCTGGGATGTACCATGAAATAGTGACTCTAAACCTCAAACCAAGAACCAAATCCCATAAGGTGTTTGGTTGTACATAAGGAACCTCAGCATGTACTCTTTTCTGTTTTCCTGTCAATGTTATAGGTCTATCTATCACACAACTTTTGCCAATTCAACTTTTTACAGGTATACAGCTTATTGATAACAATTAGCACTTCTCTTGACAGAACAACTTTATAAAGAGATGAATCTTTATATATGTCTTAATTTAAAAAAATGCAGAAGTCTTACTTCTAATAAGCTGTTCCCATTAAAGCATATTGTCATTAGTTTCCCTTTTATTTGTTATTAGATAATTTAAATAAAATTGTTTTAACCATTACATAACCCTCAACTATGAGGTGAACATATTAAAATATATTTTCTGAGTAGTTACAGAAACTATTTACCTAAGTGATATTTCATTATATTCTCACTTACTGGATGATTAGAAAACAGATTGTAGTCAAATTTCTTAAAAAGCTAATTACCAAGACATTTTGAATATAGCAGTGTCCCAATACATGATTGTTGCATTATTGAATCTATGCTGTGAAATTTTTGTGGTTTATATTTTGAAAAACTCTTACATATAAGTCTTTTTAAGGTACCATTTCTCAAATTATGACAAAGGAAGCACATGCATCAGAATTGCTGGGATGTTTGTCAAAAACGCTAATTTCTGGATTCCCCTATCTAGATTTAGTGAGTTGGAATCTCTATATGTGGCTTGGTGATATGAATATTAAACAAGTTCCCTCTAAGAGATATTCAAGCACATTTACTTTTCGGAATATATTTTCTACTGCTTTGTGTAATGCAAGGAAGTTTCAAACTGATTCAAGTTATTTTTTCCATCCCTCTGTGCCTATGCCAAACTCATTCCTTTTCCACTGTGGCTCCAATATGATTATTTTGACCTCATGCCAAGGAAGTGATCATTGCTGGACTGATTTGATTAGTGTTTACTCAGGAGGGGAGTGGGTTATCTGTAGGTAGATGAAAAGGATATGGGTGGTCCCATATTTTAGTCAACTAAGAGGAGTTGGGGAGCAGGTGGTGTGGAATAAGAGTAACAGAAGTGTAGTTCTGAGATTTCAAAACCATTTTTGCACTAGTCTAGAAAGAATAGGATTGTAAGGTTAAGAGTAACTGTTTTTAAAAAACGACAGCCTAACTTAATAGAGGTCTCCCATTTCATTCTGTGACGGTCCTTGAGGGCTCTGGTGATGAATGTGTTCATTTTATATGATTTGCTTTTGGTAAATAACCCAGTGCCCTATCAGCTCTGCAGTCCTGGCCAGTGGCTGCCGTGTGTGCACGCTAAAGACAGGGGAAGGTGCCTGGGGGAGGGCCTGGGGAGGGGCTGCCCAGAGCGATCGCGCCTCTGGCACTTCCTGGGAGACTCTCAGCCCTTTCTCTGCAGCTGCCACTTGAAGACTCCACGCTTCGCCTACAGAGGAAAGAAGCCGTCCATCTAAATCAACTGTCCTCTCCAAATCTCTCGTCTCTCTCTCGGCCAGCCGCCACTCCTACTCTTCCATTGTGTTGTTGTTGTGCCTTTGCAGTTTAACCCGTTTCCTGCGAACGACCCCAACCCGGTTTGTAGAGGAAAGGCTTATTTGAAAATTTCTGAACCTCGAATTGTAATGGAGCTGTACGGAAAGGTAAGCAGCTTAGCCTGCTCAGCGCGAAATTTCGCTTTGACCGGACTTTGGAGTGTGGGGCGTGTGTGTATGTGTGTGTCCGTGCTCGTGCCTTCTCAGTGCAATTGTGCGGGTAAACCACTTTCCGTGTGTGTGTGCCTGTGTGTGTGATTCACCATCTTTCTCCCCCGCGTTTGTTGAATGAAATTGTAAAACCACCCCACTCTACCTATGGAAATCTATAAACTTTCCCGAAAGGAGATGGGGAGGGGTGGAGATGAGATTCTCAGAACGCCGCGCAAGCTTCGTTTGTGTTGGAATTAGCAGAGAATAGGGCCTCTCTCAACCAGGGAATCACAATGTGGCTTCAGAAGGCAATCATTAGCAAAGAAAAAACTCCAGCTGAGATGAGCTGGATCACTTTCTCCTGCGCTTAGCAAGGAAAAGGGATGGGGAGGACGAAGGCGTTAACTGGGAGCCGGCTGGAAGAGAAGGGAAGCTCTGCGACCAAGGGCCGACTGGGGGAGCTAGACCGATATGTGCTTGTTTGCCGGGAAATGTAGTTCGCGGCTCGCCCTTTTGCCAGGAAGCCCGGCATGATAGACTACAACTCCCAGGAGCTCATGAGGCTTTGGGCCAGTACGCTTGTGCGGTGCTAGGACGGACAGCTCCGGTGCTGATGTTGGAGCCGGTTAGCGAACCTCAAGAGTGTAGTGTGTGGAGCGTGGAGCGCGCGGACCGTGCACGCTTGACCGGGCGCCAGGGCCAGCTGTCTTAGCAAGGGATAAAGGACATTTTACCAACAATGAGACATGAAGCGCCCATGCAGGTGGGTCTATAAAGAAACTATGGGCTCAGGAGGAATAAAGAGAGATGCGTTCCCATTGCTTCGGGCACAAACTGCCCGGCCAAAGGGAAGGTCTAGGCGGCCAATCGCAGAGGCACGGCTCCTTGACTCAGTTCTGGAGACCGAGTTGGGTTCCGGGCTGATGGCTGTGATTAGTGCTGTCTTGGTGAGGGAAAGGGATATTCATTATCTTTGCGGGCCCCCGGCACCGTGGGTGAGAGTGTCTGTCTAAAATGACAACCCGAGCAAACAAAAGTCAGGGGAACATGCATTCACATGTGGCATTGATCTACATTCTTGGCTTCCCTGGTTGGTATTCACGGTACAAACGCATGGACTTAAGGAAGATCAGCCCAGTCCAGGGTTGTAAGCTCTCCCCTGGAATCAGGAAAGATAGAATTCCTTTTGGATAAGATCGAGTTAAGAAAGGGGAAGCCAGTGTTGTGGGTCCGCAAAGTCTCGTTTCTTCAATTAGGGTCCTAGTAGTATCAGCAAAAAATGGGAAACACCTCCAAGCCTGGTTCATCCAACAGCTGTACCCGTTGCAGTCGAGTAAATTCCCACTCACACAATTGGTTTACTTCTGCGTGTTGGAGAACTCCCAGTGAGATTTTCTGTGTAATGTCCCGTTTGTTGTACGTTCTGACTCCCTATTTCAATCGGATGCTTAGATTTACTTCGATGGAGAAGTGCAAACGACCCTGGTCCTTCTAAGTATCTTGCTTAAGTTTTTGTTTGTAAATAAAGATGAGTGATGCTTTCTCATTTGTACGTATAACCAAGTAAAACATCAGCCCATGTTTATTAACCATTCCAAGGTGTTACCATTGCGTGACAGAAAGACACTTTATGAATGGGGTTGAGAGAATGGAACACACCATTTGGTATGTATTTTCTCTTGGGAACCCTCCTCTATTGTCAAATGCGACAATATAAATATATGATTTTAGTTTGGGTTTAAATATTTACCAGCGGGTATCTTCATGAATTAAGGACTTTAAATGTACAAGTCGATTTACTTTTAATTTATTATAGGAGTATGTATATTAAGATACAGTGACTAGACTGTTAAATGAAAAAATCTATACAATGTAATTATTTGTTGAAAGATTATATAATTGAAGACCTCAAATTACCTTAGGAGTTGTTGCAATTTTGATTTGTGCCAGAGAACACTGTCCCCATTGTGTGTCTTCTAATACCTCTATTTGTGACTTTGCTTTTCATTATAGACCTGATGTGAAAAGAATCTGGACAGACAATAAAGGTACAGGCGTTTGCAATCAAGATATATTGGCTTATGATAATTTTCCATCACTAGAGGTACTGCTAGGAGCCAAGTGACTAAATTAATCATACTTGATTAGAAATAAACATTGACAGTAGACTCTTAAAGCAGCTTATTATATTGAAACTCAATACTACATATGCACTGAAGTCTTTGTCAAAATAACTTCATAAAAAATTAACCACAGTGCATATTCATTTCTATTTGCTTACAGAAGTTGCTTAAAATGTTAAGAAGGGTCATTAAAATTTTACAGAACTCTATGAGATTAATGCCATTGGAAATATTTTAACTTATTTCAAACTAATTATAGTAGGCACTGTAATGCCACTTTTAGTGGAATTTCAACTTTTAGTTGAAACTTGAAGAAATTAATATAAAAATCAGGCAACATAAAAATTAATTAGCTGATGGATGGAGTCATTTTCATATTTATGATAGATTTTATCATTGAAGTGGAATTTTGAAATTTAAACATTTAAATGGCCAAATAGTATCAGTAATAACATGTATACTTTAAGAAATCAAAGACTATTTTCTTTGGTATATATTATTAAAGAACACACATTGATTCAATTTAACTGGTAAGCATACTATTGTCATGGAGACTTTCCTCTCTATTACTATAAGATTTTTAAAAAATATGTAATGGTAAAGAGTAAAAACTGTGAATGTGCTTTAATTTTTTTTTTTAAAGGGGGAGGAAATAATGTCACAGCCCCTATACTTCTTAATCATAATCATATTTCAGGTAAATTTGATATATAAAAATGCCACAAGATAAATAGTTGAAATTTCTCATTTCTTTTTTTCCATTTAATGACCACACCACATCATCATTTTAAATATATGCCCAAACTATTTTTCAGTTGGGTTTCTAGACGATGAGTCACAATCAAAACCTCATTCTGTAGTTTCATTATCCTAAGAAATTCTTCTTTCCTTTTAACAATATTCATTTAGTTGATTGGCAGATATGAAACAAAACAAGCCTTTTAATTGTTGATTTCCTAATTGACTTCTTGTATTTTCTTAAAGCAAAGAAGCCATTTTTTAAAAATTATGTAATTTCCTTTAGAAAATATTTGATGTGCCTATGTAAATAGGTCATTGTTCTGTCCAAGATAGCTGTCTTTGATATCTGCGTGTTTTCTGAGGAATATTTGTCTCTGAATGTATGGAAAATGAGGGGTAATTGTTCTTTTATAATGACTGTTAAAACAACAAACAATGAAAGCCTTTGATGTCTGTATTTCCTTTGAAACTAAGTAACCAGGAATAACATTTGGTAAGTGTTCCAGGTGATGAGTTCAGAATTTGAATACAGGAGATGGGCCACTTTGTGTCTTCTCATCCAGTGCCTTCATAAATCCTGAGGACAAATGAAGTGGGGAAGAGCAGTGCTCATGACTTGAAGGCAAGACTCTGGTGTGAAAATTGTCATTTGATTCATTTTATTCTGGAGCCAGACTGAACATATTCCAGTTTATCCAGTGTCTTTTCAGTGGCAAGCACTGTGTTTTGCATTCAGGTTTCATTTAATAACAATTGAAAAGTAGTCTTTACCCTAATTACTGGCAAGATAACTAGAGCTTATGAAGATTAAATAACTTTCCCAACATTGTTGTCATTGTTAGGTGCCATCAAGTCGGCTTCAACTCATACTGACTTATGTACAACAAATGAAACATGGCCTTGGCCTGCTCCATCCTCACAGTCCTTGATATGCTTGAGCTTGTCATTGCAGCCACTGTGTCTCTCCATGTTTTTGAGTCTCTTCCCCTTCCTCGCCAACCCTGCTTTACCAAACGTGATATCCTTCTCTAGTGAATGGTCGCTTCTGACAACGTGATCAAAGTAGGTGAGATGAAGTCTAGTCATTCTCACTTCTAAGGAGCATTGTGGCTATACTTCTTCCAGGACAGATTTGTTTGTTCTTCTGGCAGACCATGGTATTTTCAGTATTCTTCACCAACAACATAATTCAAAGGCATCAACTCTTCTTTGGTCTTCCTTATTCATTATGCAGATTTCATATGCATATGAGGTGATCAAAAATACCCTGGCTTAGGTCAGACACACCTTAGTCTTCAAAGTGACATTGTAACACTTTATAGAGGTGTTTTCCAGCAGATTTTCCCAGTGTAATACGATGTCTGATTTCCTGAGTGCTGCTTCCATGGATGTTAACTGTGGATCCACATAAAATGAAATACCTAACAGCTTCAAGCTTTTCTCTGCTTATTATGATGCTGCTTATTTGTCCTCTAAACAAAACAAAACAAAAAACCTCAATGCCGTTGAGTGGAATCTGACTCACAGTGACCCCTCCTTGGGTTTCCGAGGCAGTATCACTAGGAAGTAGATTGCCCAACCTTCCTTCCAGTTGTGAGGATTTTTGTTATCTTCATGTTGAGGTGTAACCCATACTGAAGACTGTAGTCTTTGATCTTCATCAGTAAATGCTTCAAGTCATCCTCACTTTCAGCAAGCAAGGTTGTGTTGTCTGCATATCACAGGTTGTTAATGAGTCTTCCTCCGATCCTGATGCCACATTCCTCTTCGTGTACTCCAGCTTCGTGCATTATTTGCTCACTGTACAGATTAAACAAATATGGTGAAGGGATACAACCCTGACACACTCCTTCCTGATTTTAAGCTATGCAGTATCCCCTGTTCTGTTTGAATGACAGCCTCCTGGTCTATGTATAGGTTCCTCATGAGCATAATTAAGTGTTCTGGAATTGCCATTCATCACAATGTTGTCCATAATTTGTTATGATCCACACAGTCAAATGCCTTTGCATAATCAATAAAACACAGGTAGACATATTTCTGGTATTCTTTGCTTTCAGCTAAGATCCATCTGACATCACATCAAGATTTTACTTGCTTGTTCTTTTAACGATATTGTCTGATAATTTCCACATTCTGTTGGATCACCTTTCTTTGGAATGGTCACAAATACCTGATTTCTTCCAGTCAGTTGACCAGATAGCTGTCTTCCAAATTTCTTGGCATAAATGAGTAAGTGTTTCCAGCACTGAATCCATCCATTCATTGAAATATTTCAATGAGGTCTGTTCCTGGAGTCTTGTTTTCCACAAATTCCTTCAGTGCACCTTGAACATTTTCCTTCACTACCATTGATTCTTGATCATACGCTGCTTTCTGAAATGGTTTGATATTGACCAATTCTTTTGGATACAGTGATTCTGTGCATTCCTTCCATCTTCTTTTCATGCTTGCTGTATCATTCAATATTTTGTCCATAGAATTCTTCAATATTGTAAGTCAAGGCTTGAAATTTTCTTCAGTTCTTTCCACTTGAGAAATGCTAAGTGTGTTCTCCTTTTTTGGTTTTCTAACTCCAGGCCTTTGGGCATTTTATTATAATACTTTTACTTTGTCTTCTTGTGCCATCTCTTGACAACTTTTCAGGTACTTTACTTCAACAGTTCTTCCATTCACTGTAGCTACCATATGCTGAAGAGCAAGTTCTTAACATGGTACAGTCCAAATCCTACCAGAGCTGTCTAGAAATCCCATGATCTTTCTTCTATTATTTTGGATTCCTTGGGAGGACCTAATGCAAAGAATGTGGACACTGTTACTATAATTTGATCCATTCATTTGGTTCAAGAGAAAGAAAAAATGACCCTATCTTCTCTTTATAAAATAAATTTGTATAAAC